CGTGTGTCAATGCTTTTGTCCGGCCGTCTATACGTGCGTTTGTCCGTCTTATTACACACACTTCTATTAGACCAACGCCATCTTGAAAATGAGACGAGAAGTGGCAATGAGACAGCGCCATCTATTATACTTTTTGGGAGATACTGCCAGTTACGCCTGACTCAGGACAAGGTTAGACTAAGAGGAGCTTCGCCCCTAAAAATGGCACCTACACCGACATGATCCTCTCGAACGGGGGCTACGACGACAATACACAGCACTCTTGGTAAGTGCCCAACCTGATCTTATTGCAGTACGTATACTGCCGAGCAAGGCCAAATGCTTGTGTAGACAGTGCTAGGCAGACGCACAAGCAGTTACTGTTGCACTAATAGAGCGGGACAAACCGCCCTTCGAGGACGAGCATGACGTGCGCGCCCGTGCTAGCCTATGTGGCCAGCAGGCGACACAGGGAGCAATCAACACTGAGCGTGTTTCAGCCAGTGGCCGCCAAGCGGCGACTCCACTCAATCTAGGGACGAATAGTGCTTTGGTATGGCTGGCGTACGTGTAACGTCTCTGCAGAACATTGCGCACTCCTCGTGACAGCGGCTGCGACAGCGTCTCCTGTTATTTCGCTTATGACACCCAGCGATGAAACGCTGCGGCACTGGACAACATTGGGGAGTTGCCCCATGCACAACGCTCAGTTTCGGCCCGAATGGTAATAAGACGAGATGTAACGTTCCTTCGCCCGAGAGACGGAGAGAAAAAAAAAGTGTAATAATGATTCGCCTGTTGGTGAATATGGAAGTGAAGAACCCTTAAGTACGAGAAAATTGAAGGCAGCTTAACACTGTACATAATAATGCCGCCGAGCCAAGTGCGTAGCTCGGCGGCCTTTCTTTCTCTCTATCTCTTTCTCGATTTTTCTATCTTGCCTTGTCTTTTTTCCCTCTATCTCTATTTCCTTTGATTCTCTAGTTCTTTCTGTTTTTTCTCTGTATGCTTCTTTCTTTGTTATTCTCTGTATCTATTCCGTTCTATTTCTTTCTCTCTCTGTACTCGTTATCTCCCCCATCAGAGTCATTTCGTTCCGCACCGGGCAACTCGGCACTCGTGTTATGGGGTCGAAAAAGAAGATGATGAAGAGGCCGCAGGAAGCCCGTGCGGGTTGATGATAATAATATTAGTGTTTTGTTTGCTCTAGACGGACTAACTATCAGCTTGAACAGCTCCGCTGCTAACAAGTCAGCCGACATGCTATCGTCGTTGCTGACGTCAGCAGCGGTGACGCGAAGTGGTTACTGTGCTCGGCTTCTGAGCTTGCAGGTCGCTGTTTCGATCCCTGCCATGGCCGGCGCATTTCTATGGAGTCGAATCTACGGAGGCCCGCGTACTGTGTGACGTCCGGGCCCGTAAGAGAAGCTCAGGTGCCCTAAATTATTCGAAGCTTTCCACTACTGCGCGTCTCAGTTATACCATGGATTTGGTACTTAAAACACCAAGTATTGTATCTCTCCTCTTGCCGTCCTCGTTATAACACACGATCACTCACTTTACAAAGACAACTTTCACCTCCTGACGAAGACACCGCTGAACACACACATCGATAAGGTAGATAATTAATATTTAAGCGTATAACACACAAATAGCGTACCATTCATAGAGTTAGCAGGAAAGGTAAATTTATTTATTTATGTATTTTAGAATAAATAAATTCTTTCTTCACGTGCTGCAATCGCATAAAGTATTCGGACAACTGGCGGTATGTTCCACGCTTTATAAAGCCGCGCGTGAAGGTTTTTCTAAATCGCCACCTGCGTTACCCCGTGCATTAAGCCGCACAAAAAAAAATATTTTAATTGCGGCAAGCACTAGCTGCGGTGTGAGAAAGCAAGTTGTTGAGCGAGGAATCGCCGGGATAATATAGTATACGCTCTGTTTTCACGAGTTCCGACTGTGAAACCTGCCTCATCATCGGCTTCGGCCTCTATATAGGCTGAATGTATGCGCGATTCATGAAGTGCAATGTGAAGAGAAGGCTTCTCTACACTTTCGTATTCTGAACACGAGTGAAAGCGTTAACGTCGCGCCACATACACTGACCTTTAACAGCCTTCTCTTCTCGCACCGGCGAGTGCCCGTTAATTATTCTATATATATAGTACACTCCGCCCCCCTCCCCTTTTTTTTCAGTGGAACATTAGCGCTTGAGGTGCAACCTCAATGTTTCGCGCAGACTTAACTTTTTCGCATGAAGTATCTCTTACTTTTCTCTCCAATTGTTTCTTTTGTATTTTTATATGCTTTTAATAGAACTGTTCCACAAAAAGCAAGCAAAAAGAAAACGTGCCAACAAGTACTTTTTGTTTCGCTACCGCTTTAAAACTCTTGTTTCTTATATGAAAAATTTTCAGAAATCTTGTAGAGGTTTTAGATATCGGGAGCGTGCATAGAACTATATAGATGAGCGTTCAGATCCGACCCCAGTGATAAAATGGGGCTACTACTTGAATGACCGAGAACGTTCAATCTCTGGAAGCCTGTATTGTGTATTTAGATCGAGTTGCAACATTATAAAGCTTTGCAGAGACGTGCTCCCTTTTTTTTATAGCAGAAACCAACGGTACCGCGGTTGCAAGACCTGAAGGTTTCTTGCAAGGGCGCGCGCCGTGGGACGTAACTATACATTGCGTACGGAGGTTATGCTTGCGAAAGTAAGTACATACGCCCGCGTTTTCAGTGGATATAGGTAATCATTGCAACCTCGCAACGTATGTCTTAAGTGTTTGCTTTCGAAGGATATCCATGCGGGCAGGCACTTGAGATGATTTAATATCGCTGCGCAACAGTTGTTACACGTTGAGAGTGCACGTTTGCGCCAGTAGAGACATTTGCACAGACGGCCGTTTTTTGTTTGTTTGTTTAAAAAAATCAGGGATAAATAAAATAATATGAGGGAGACTGTTCATGAAAATTCATTTACACACTCGAGTAACCGCCAGTCTTGCTACACACCGGACAGGTAATCAACAATTCGTGCCGATGAACTCTCCACATTTCGGGGCCGGCTATAATTTAGTTGGACGTGCACAGACGAGCGAAGTACCTGCGTTTCGTCAATCCCTTCGTTGCTTCACCCATTCCCCATTTGAAAATAAAAAAAGGCACGAATTATGGACGACGCCGCGAAATTTTCCTAAAAAAGAATGAACGGGATTTTGCGGAAGGTTAAATGGGCCGAAAAAGAGTTCAGTATTTTAGGGACTCGAAGAGCTGCTTGTCAAGCCGTTTCTCGTACCAAGCGGTATTTTCCAAGCGCATTTTTTCATTATTATTGTCTGTTTAATTACGTTTACATCGACCGAACACTGGACGCAGTCCTTCGTGTAAGAAAAAAAAGTACCTCTCAACCACATAACCTCCCCGAAAAAGCCATTCAATCGCTTAACTAAACAAAAGATGTAATCTAATGTGAAGCAGACTTGCTGGAACATTCCGTGTTTTCGTCTCAACTCGTCGTATTCGCACGTAATAGCTTCATTTCATGGCTTGCGAAGAACACAACGTTTCATATAGATTAAACCAGTGAAACTTTTCTCAAAAGCTGGTAGCTTAAACTTGTTTAAATCGTTATGACGACGTTCCAAATGAATCAGTCATTATACCAGAGACGAATACATTAAACAATAATTTGCGAGCCTCGTTTTGTGAACGTATGAAAAGTAAGGTACCCCTTTAGGTACCTGAAGGCGAATATAGGTGAACACATATTTAAAACAACTTTATAGCGTATTGCTTTTTAGTCCCTAATAACGAAATAATACAAAACAAACGTTCACCGTAATAATTATATTTTCGCAAATTTAACCAGCCCAACACCTCACTTTGCTGACGTTCTACACGATACTGACCCATCATGCCACTGTTTAACATAATGCCAACGTCGTAATATATGGTCCTCATGTGCTGTCTTTGCTGCGCATGTAACGTGTTTAAGAAATGCAACCCATAGAAAAAATCATCTTATGATTCAGACCCAGGAATTATTGATACTGAGTAGGCGCCATGAACCAGCGTCATTCTGAGCTTTTCCTTGATCTCTAAAATCTTGAAATCATCAATATGTTGTTTTGCAAGTATACTATTGCTTTGAGATTTCTGGGTGTTATTTATTGTTTATTAGGTAGTGTGAATTTATGTTACACCTTTGTTTTGCGAACCTCCTTTTCAGCTTTAACTCGTACAGCAAACATATATACTCTATAATACACTCTAGCTTGTGTTCTGCCGATTGTTGGCACGCATTTTAAAAATCTTCAACCCCCACGATAATGCCCGCTGCGTGGCTACTTGTGTGCACTCTACTTGCTTTTCTGTTTCAGTTTGCAACCTGTACAGCATAAAACATACAGTTATGTGCTCTCTGTTCATCGCTGTAGAGGCCTGTATGTTCTGCGGTGCATGAGCATGTTAAAGGATGCCCGATGGTCGAAATTACCAAAGCCCTTCTCTACGACACCTCTCATAATCAGATGAAAGTTTTATTACCTAAAACACCTGATTTTAATACGTGTTCTGTTTTTATTGCTTTCTAGAGTCTTTCCTGTAGCTTCTTTCCTGTCAGGGGCGCATGCTCCAGTTAGGTTATTACTCAGACTTCAGTCGCATCCCCCAAAGTAATACGGTATAAATTTTTGCCTTGAAAAAACCAAACTAAAACAAACGTTTTTTTATGAGCAATGTGCACTGCCTAACAAATTCTTCATTTTGACGAGAAAATAAATTCGATCTACAAAACATTACTGTCAAACAAAGCGATGGCGAGCCGCAATCCTCCCCATCTTTGGATCCAAGCGCTTCACATGACCCAGGACTACACTAGATCAGGATTATCTCTCGTGGAGCACTGACCCAATAACAATAACCAGAATAACATTACGCACTTTCGACGGACCACTCGTCGCCCAAGCGTTCATAGCAACCGAGACAGGGGACGTTCCTGGCGCGCAACTCACGTCGGGTAAGTGGCGTCTTCAACGCAGTATGCGCTCTCGCCCAAGCCGCGGGTCTCGCAGGCTGGCATTCCGTGTGAGTCCAGCCGCGGCCTTAGCTCGCCAGACGTCGGGTAGAAGACGGGTCGGCCCGTGGTCGGCGGCATGCGGCCGCTCGGCGGTGGCCCTCGCGCGCTGCGCATCATCTTGAAGCCGTGCGGTCGCGTCGGCGACGGTCGGGTCGCCCCGCAGAAGCAGCACGCCAGAGCCGCCAGCCACAGAACCTGCACAGACAGTGGACCGAGCCAGTCAGACATGGTGCATTGTGATTCGTGTACGAGTGAAAGGAATATGCATTCTCTTGTGACTTCGCGCTATACAAATAGATGGTTGTCAATTATCCCTTTCATAACCACCATTCCACCACCTTGCGGGATTCCACAAAACTCATTTATCCTTTTCTGTGCCCATGTGTCTCGAATTGTTTACTAATTCACCCGCGCATGGCCAATCGTTAACATCCGGGTCCGTTATTCAATTAGTGGAGAACCCTCCGCGGAAAGGAGTTGGTTTTGGGTTCGGTTGTCAGACCAGGACGAATATAGATGCTTTCCTTTGTGAGAAATTATTAGGGCCTTCCTTGTGGCTTAGTGCTAAAATATAGTAGTTGTCAATTACCCTTTTCGTAACCTTCCCGTCACCTTGCCGGATAATGTACGCACACTATGCATTAGAGATGTACCACCAGCACGACGGTGGTCCCAGTCAGCCCATCCACGAGTTATGCGAGCTTATGAAGAGGTGGCGTTCAGGGGGCGTAGCTGTGATATTATTTCGGGAGGCCCCAGATCCCCCATGTGCATGTGTGTTTTTATGTGCGCCGCCTGTATGTCATCATCATCATCATCATCGTCGTCGTCGTCGTCGTCGTCATCATCATCATCATCATCATCATCACCACCACCACCACCCCCACAACCCATCATCATCATCACTATTATCCTATCCTAAGTACATTGCAGGACCAACACTTCTCCCGATGATCTCCAATGTACCATATTTTGGCGAGCGGGTTCCATGTTATGCCTCGGAGTTTCTTAATGACTCTACCTACGTAACTTCTAGCCTCCCTCGGCTGCGTTTCCAATTCCTATAGGTAGCATGCCGTCGCTCTTACTGACCATCAATTACGTGGATGTATATATAAAAAGTAACCCCGCCGTGGTGGTCTAGTGGCTAAGGTACTCGGCTGCGGACCCGCAGGTCGCGGGTTCAAATCCCGGCTGCGGCGGCTGCGTTTCCGATGGAGGCGGAAATGTTGTAGGCCCGTGTACTCAGATTTGGGTGCACGTTAAAGAACCCCAGGTGGTCAAAATTTCCGGAGCCCTCCACTACGGTGTCTCTCATAATCATATGGTGGTTTTGGGACGTTAAACCCCACATATCAATCATTATATATAAAAAGTACATAATCTACGAGAAGGGAAAGGGGGCGAGGAAGATGCTTGCTCAGAGGCGGAGAAGGGTGAGGGGTATTGTTGTACGTTCGCTCTGATGGGGAGAGGGTGCACGTGCAAGGACGCCTAGCCAAACTTCCTTGGCAAGGCAGAAATTACATGCACAGTAGCAGCGCCTCCACGGAAACCATGGCTACGGCTACAATAGGCGTTTTGTGCGAGTTGCCGGGTGCAATGGGCTAGGCGGCTGCGCCGAAGCGACGAGGCAGCGTTTCAGCGCAGCTGTCAATTAGAAAATTGTTGCGCGGGATCCACATAGCTCAACTTGAATAACTAAGAAATATGCTTAAAAAGCCCTTAAACAACAACTAGTTCAAAGGTGAGGCAGTAGTTTCATTCTCGCCTTCACTACTTTTTCTACAAGCGCCATCCCCTCCTCTCCACTTATTTCTCCATAAGACTCGTAGAATGCCCAGCACTAAGCGTTCAGTCATTAGAATTTTGCGCTTTTTGACTACACGCTGCTGCATCCAATTGCGCAGTCACAAATGCAAAAAAACATGAGCTAATCGTGCACGATAGTCAGTCTAGACTAGGCGGGACTGAAATGTGTCGGCAACGCAAACATGTTAACATAACTAAGGAGACAATTCATAACAGATATCTCTAGTATATCGATCAACCCAGAGTTCATTTCACCCATGACGTCACGTGAACGAACTGCTGGCGTCACAAATTGGACGGCAACAACGAGGCACGCCGGGAGAGAATAACGCCCCTGTTCTTCGTATTTTCAGTGTTTGTTTAAGGGCCCTTTTATGTAAAATGCCTAAACTTGAGAGAAAATGTAACGTTGGACGAAAGTGGCGATACCAGATGTAATAGTAGAATAAACGACTACTACCAGCATAAACAAATAATGAACAATGATACAAGATAGGAATACTTAGAAAAGACTAGCAAACCTGCGAAACGCAATAGGGACGTCGGATTCACTTTTCGAAGGTTTTTACGGAATGGCGGTGGCTCGAATGTTTTTCTCATTCCTTGTGGTTCTCCCCCAGCGCAGTGTAGTTATGGCATATGCTTTTCTTACTAACACTTTTGCCTTGATTCACTCACTTCATCTCTCTCGCTTTCTCGCTGCACCCATTGACGGGGTTGTGGCTGATGACGATGCTGCTAACTTGCTACCGGCAGAATTGTAACCTGGCGCACGTGAGCGGCCCCCGTGCCTCTTCCCATTACATATGATTCGCCACACATTACTTAACCCAGCCTGCGTAGAAACGTCAGAACGATGCAAAACACTTCCTTGCAGCGCTACGCACGCTTCTTCAGAGAAGACCATGGGCTCAACTTGCCCGTAAGAAATGAAAACATTCTTTCAAATGTTTTTTTAGGACGAAGCATTTTAGGACAGAAGTGCTAATTGTACTAGATGAGATGCTGCCTACCGGCCACTTCATTGAAATCAGTGCATGATGACATTAACTGCATGTGCATTCAATGTGAGCACCCGCGTGACGATGAAGGTTAACCACCGCAGGCTGATGACGTTGTGTGGATGTCTCGCATAGCACATACTGAACTGCTGCCAGAATGGATTGTGAACGCTGTGATCCATGACCATGACTATTCCAAGACGTTACACGCCACGTATGATGACAATATTTTAATTTGTGAGCGTTACATGAAGTTTTATATTACTTAATTAACCACTTCTTCAAAGCCTCAAGGCTGATTAATTCCAGCACGCGCACTGGCGCCGAGCGATGTTCCTAACTCGGGCTGCAGAAGTGGCGCATTTTCCACTCCCCGGCTGCTTTTCCTCCTCCCGTACGCACACTCTTCATGAAGAATTTTTGTCTTTCTTTCTGCCGTGTCACTGTTTAAATTGAAGCGCATGTATCATGAGAGAGCTTTAGCTGGCCGGGTTTTTTGCCCCGCCGGGGTGGTCTAGCGGTTTGTGCGAGTTGCCGGGTGCAATGGGCTAGGCGGCCATGCTGAAACGGCGAGGCAGCGTTTCAGCGCAGCTGTCAATTAGGAAACTGTTGCGCGGGATCCACATAGCTTAACTTGAAGAACTAAGAAATATGCTTGAAAAGCCCTTAAACCACACCGAGTTCAAAGGTGAGACAGTAGTTTCATTCTCCCTTTCACTACTTTTGCTGCGTACCCGAAGGTCGTGGGATAGAATCCCGGCAGCAGCGGCTGCATTTCTGATGGAGTCGGAGATGTAGGTCCATGTGCTCAGATTTGGGTGCACGTTAAAGAACCCCAAGTGGTCGAAATTTCCGGAGCACTTCACTACGGCGTCTCTCATAATCATAAGATGGTTTGGGGACGTTAAACTTCACATATAAATCAAGCTGGACGGGTTTACAAGGGAGCGGGAGAGCGGAGAGGGCGGCGGAGGGCGACCCTAAACCACACCAAAACGATGCTCCCATGATGGGACAGTAAGGCCGAGATAGCACCGCATCGTGAGCCCTCTGGAAAGCCCAAAGTTGCGATGTTATGTCCTCCACCGCCGAAACGTAGAGTAAACAATTATCAAATTTTCGTGTGCTCCTTTATTCCTAATTATATTTGCACCGGACCCACAGAATTTTAATTTTTTGAATCATATATATATATATATATATATATATATATATATATATATATATATATATATATATATATATATATATATACATTGGTATGAGACATGGCACAACGCTCCCGTTGTGCCATATCCGATACCTTCCCTAAGACTAACTGGCCCATTGAATTATTACTCCCATATATATATATATATATATATATATATATATATATATATATATATATATATATATATATATATATATATATATATACATTTATTGAGTTTTTATTGACTAAAAGGGACTCACAAAGAGTGGAGTTTCAAATGCGGAGCAATCCTTTGAAGACCAAAGGTGTTTTGAGGGTTTCTACATTTACTTATCTACATATCTGGTTAGATACGTCTTGGTACTCTCGTATTCGCCTCATCACTTTTGTAAAAACCAAAATTGCATATGGGGGCACGAAGGTGTGAGAACATGTGTACGATCCTGACATAACGCGAAAATAATGTGTACGTCATGAAACTCTTTCTTTGAGGCATGTGTGTCCCATACCCATATACCACGTGCTGCGGTATACGGGTATGCGCCTCAAAGTTCGCATCTGCCTAGGAGCAGCGACAATTAGACGTTGGTAGTTTAAACGCGCGAACCTTTGAAAAATTCGACATCATCACCATAGATTCGATGAGTGCAAAGAATAGAAACCAGTATCCCAACAGGAATCGAACCCCAGCATTTCGTGCGGCATGCAATCATGTATTCTACCATAGAACTATGCAAGGTATTGAATCTGCTTTGGCACTGCGCAGAAATCAAGTCGGTGCAAAGTGACTATGGTTACTATGCTAACTATCTATATTTATGACATGGAGATAAACATTCCGTATGCACTCCTACTATACAGACGCACGTCATGTCTATAGTATAGACATCAAGTGTGGCCTCAGAATCAGCTCCGCTTTTGCAGCAAACGCCTAAACGTTATATACACTCATATGAATCAGCAAGCTACAATCTAGCGTTGCTCGGCAATGGAAGAATGCGCTAAATAATGACGTTTGAATCATTGCCCCATAACGCACACTTTGCTTTCGTAAAATTTACGGCCGTGCCCTAGAGTGAGTGCTGTGGTCGCGTCAGGTCACCACTTCTTTACAAAAAACGTCGATGTATAGCCCGTAATGCATGTCCAAAAGAAAGGAAATGGGGCATATACAGATATATCGCTGA